ACTCACTGGTGAACAGAGCTCAGAACAAACTAGACTGTCATTGATCTCAGTGGTTTGCTTTCAGAGCACTTCCTCTCCCCCACCCACAGCACAGGAAGGCACACAATAGCTCACTTCCACTGCCAGCAAGGTCAGAACCTGTGCCAAGACTGCTCATTAATGAGAAAACTGAACATCCTCAGGACCACCACACACACACAGCCTTACAGCAAACTCGCTTCTTAAGGAGGAATCACAGGCACAGAGCAGCAATTCATGCACTGTACCAACAGCAGCAGCAGCAGTGACAGTCACTGGCTGCAGACTGTGGTGCAGTTACATGAAGCCTATCCCACACCTGGGGGGAGGAGCTCACCTCGGTGAGCAGGATGGCCAGCATGTCCTGCCTCTGGAAGCGGATGGCCAGGTGCACCAGGGTGTAGCCCACGTCGAAGTAGCAGCCGAACCTCGTCCGCGCTGAGCTGCCGCGCGATGTCCCCTCCGGACGACTTGTAAGCTTCCACTGCTGCTAAATCACCCTCCACGACACCTGAGGGGAAACACAACTCGGGTCAGCTCCAGAACGAGCCAGTCTGCACCAAGCTGTCCCAGTTACCACGCTTCACCCCTATTCTGACAGAGGCCTAATGACCAATGTCAACTGCACGGCGAGGAACTTGCCAAGTTGGGTTTTTTGGACATAAGACTACAGAATATTTACACTTACCTCACCGCCCAGGCCATTTCACTCCCCAGACTAGCTGGAGGAGATGGCAGATCAAACACCAGCTCAGAAGTGGTGCTGAGGACCTGTGATGGAATGCTAGGCTAACATAGGCACTAAGGTTTCATTTGAGCAGCAGCACTGAGACAAAGTCATTCATTCATAACAGAGATTAGACTGATTATTATATCTTTCCTTTTATCTTAAACAAACCCTACTGGATCTAAGAAATAGATCTATTAAAAGGTTGTTGGAATAGAAGTCTCTTTTTAATTCCAAATATGGTATAAAACTGTTAGAAGAGGGTACAGAGCATGAGTTTTTCTCCTCAGTTCATCATCTCTGCTATTAATGGAGCTTAGAGTTATCACTCAGGGGACTCTATTAAAACTGAATTAAAGAGAAATTAAACACACCATGTGTACTTTCTAAAGCAAGACTGGTGGAACAATGAATGACCCTAATGCCTTCTTGAGTCCCTGGGAATCCCTGACCA